CTCCACTGGATACTGATGAATGTCTGGTTCCGCTAACACCACGTGACACAGTTTTCACCAATCCCGGCACCGAACCAAAATGACATTTTGGGTTACACATAGGGTGAAGTAAATAGGTATTACGCGTACGCAACTGAGGCAGCGGGAATATGGATTTTTGATCAACATAACTCTTTTCCCAGCAATTTGCAAACTATTTTCATAAATAAATATACGCCATGTGACATAACATCATATTTTTACTAATTTGGAACAACATATATAATATAGGCACAGTAAAAAAATGGATTGAAAAAATACGACACAATTGTTGAAAAGCATGGCAGAAGATATTAGTGTGTTGAACACACTGTTTAAAACATTGCATGTACGTCGTTTTATAGTGGTCTATTTTATTATCTCATAATGTTGTCAACAAAAACGTCTGCATTTTCATCGCAGGACAGTGTCAATTCCTATTTATATGACACAATACCGCGTTAATTAATGAGATCGCATATAATAGTCGATTTGTTTGTGACACTGGAAACTGAAATATAGTTCCGATGCTTGTGGCGATGTGTGGCTTTGGCTGTATGTAGAATTTTTCGACTTCCTGTTACATGTAGATTACACACGCCTGGAACATTTTGCGGAACTGTCCTTAGACTTTCTACATTAACTACGTAACATCCGATGACGAGACTTGTAATTAATAACGTGATACCTTGAAATCTATCCATATAGTCTCAATAATAGTAATTTAATTATAGAGCAACACAAAGAAACTTTAATTTAATAATTCTTCTGATCATACTATAATAATAATGCATCTAATAAATCATTGATGTAATTCGTGATTGATCATATTTCAATGATATTTGTATTAAAATTATAAAGAGAAGAACACCGTAAAAGCGATCAGGATAATTTTAGGACGCTGACGCATGCGTGTTATGCCACGGGTCAATGCGTCTTGCTCTAGGCGTATGTTATATTTGATTGTAAACTTATCAAGCCAATGTACAGTGAATTGAATCTGTCTTATCGAGATAGGTTCGTGTCAATTAAGTAATTAGCCTATCATTGAATCTGGAACGGTTTCTTTTTATATATAGTTTCATTTTCTGTGAAGCACGCTAAGGAAACTCCGATAATACGAAAAGTCTACGGCAATCGGACTGACTGTCACGTGACTCGGTCATGGGAGAACATTGAAAATAAGCAATACACTGAATTGTCTACACATCGCATGCTGAACAAAAATCGCTCACATGTTAATCTCAGTTACCATAGCAACGCTATCTCTATACAACGACATTAATCTAGAATGCATTGATTAATTTAGTCCCTTCTTCCTGAATTTGCCAATGTGACATTCTTTGAATCTAATGGTGAATCGCATTATGCCTTAATCCAGTAATTGTGATTCATTAAACTGAGAAAATATAACAACCAATCACAAGCCTTGTTTCGAGCTACGTCGTTATGGTTACAATATTTATGTTCATACGAGAAGTGGATTCTGGTTATAAATATCATAATATGATCAGACATTTCGTTTTCTATCTTCAGAATAAAATAATTACAATGAAGAGATTGATCAGAAGTAAAATAAGACTAAGACTGTACGCAAAATAACGTTTATTTTAAATGCTGCCAGTACCGCATCTTGCCCGATTAACCTGACTAGAACGACCCACTGTAATATGTACACTTAGGTTGGCTTCCGTGTATTTAAGCGCTGTTTCCTCCTTCCTAAACACTCGTCCATTAGAGAACAACCAGCTTGTGTTGCCTATTCATCGATTTGCATGTCATCGAAGTTATAGTATGACGGATTGTGGTTGAATTAATTATATAGATCACGTACGCCAATAATCGATCGCTGGTGAATTCCATTTTCTGTGATTTAATATAATATATCGCAGTATATTCCCGTAAGGATTTCACGAATCATGTATGTGTCGATATTTTTCAGCTAAAAAATCAATTCTAATACAACCAATTTAATATAAATTCATTCGATAATACACGAAAAGAGGCCATAAAATTTCATGATCAATAGAGCTACAAAAAATATGCATGTCAATGTAGGTCATTCCGAATACCTACTGTGCTGACAAATTACATTTTTCAACAACGCATGTAGATTTATCTTGCACGCTAGGTTTAAATTATAATTTTATAGAGTGACCTTCTCTTCGTGCTGAAACGCGCATGTAAGTGTCTGTATAATGGAGAATAAAATAAGAACAGCCGCATCTTCCTTATCTTTTGCTCATCTAAGCGTGTCTACATCTCCGTCCCCATGGAAACTCCCATCACGTGATGCACTTTGTAATCCTCCGTCGTGACTTTATTTGAATTTTCGATGTAGATTTGCGTGTAGCCAAACACTTTTATTTCGATATCAGATGTACGATTTCAAACAATGCTGTTACTAGTATGTTATATCGGATAGTGTGAACCCATGTGACATTCGGTTGTATGCATATTTGTAAATGACAAACGTAATGTAAAATGTGAATTTCATGCGTTTTAAAAATGTTTCGCCATATGCTTTTTCAAAAAATCTGCACGAACGCAATTAATAACGTGCTGGTGTTGCATTCTGATGGGAAATTTATTAACTCACTGCGTTAGTTGCACAGTGGGCTTTACGGAACATTTTCTCGAGTTGATTTTTATCGCCTGTGAAAATTTATTGTCTGTTTGGCGAGGTTCTTTATTTTCCAATGACAGTTAAATGATAAAGGCTGAAATATCATTAAATTGTACATGTACATGAAAAATCATTTTTCAAATCCCATTTTTGTAAGAAATTAAACTGTTTTCGACATTAAATAATTTTCATTATTGCTAATAGTGTTAAAAAGTTCAGAAATACACCATGAGCATGTATCCATGACGACATGTCACTGTGGTAAGATAACATGAAAGAATCGCGCGTAATCTTCAAAACTCTTATATATATGAAGTGCGTCATTGACTCTTCGTTTCTATGACAACCACGTCACGCGGTAGATAGCCTATGTCAATTTACTACTTGAATGTTCGAGAAGACAATAAAGAAGACACCTTAAAGTGGATATTTTACCATGTCCGGCAAAGTCACGTAATTATCTGCCGATATTCACGTCAAAATTACGTTGTAGTTATAATAAAATGGGCGTGGCTGCTATAGATGAAGACAGTTTCACGCCAAGTGTGAATTATAACTACCTGCATAAATGGTGGATTTAAACAATATTTGGTACAATATGTTTAGTGATGATGGTGTTTTATGTCTCTATGACTACAACCATTCATGAATATATCGCTGACATTGACATTGACATTGGCATGCTGTACCCCAACCCATCTTGTTGATATCGTTTTGCTGAGCTGCTCGCAGAATAATGGTTTTGAAGTGGCATTAAATGACCTCTGACCTTTTTGTTACTATGTCTCACTCGTTGGTAAACATCATTGTCAAATTTGTGACAGAAAGTGACAGTTTGTGACACTCGAAAAATGGATTTTTAATAATTCAAAATCTGTTATCTGTTTATTTTATGAAGGATCAAAGGTTGCTAAGGAATAATACATATTTGTTGAATATCTCATCGATGTGTGGTGTGGGTTTTGGTGTTTGTTCTTTTCTTTTTAGTTTGATTTAATATTCACTCCTTGCTGTTAAAAAATCATGATTTGTCACGTGACCAAATGTAATCATACCCATCACGTTCTCAAAATGTATTCTGATTTTGAACCATAACAAACAAAACTATAATTCACAGTACTGCAAATAATCTATACCGCCTTACCTACTCGACTACTGTAGGCACGAACGTAACACAATTGCACTCTAGAACGTTCCCACATTCAAAACGTATGTGACATATATTTGTTTGAACTAGTAGTTGTTGGCTGTGTTTCTTTTGAATACTCGCCATATATTTGGTCAGCGTGGGACATGCTTAAACCACTAACAACAGATAATGTTAATATGAAGTATTCCAGTAATTTCCATTGTCCGTTATAAATGTGCGGGAAATGACAATTTCAACAATTTGCCGTGGTTTGTATACCCCACTTAGAAGTATTGTGGCAACGACGCCATACAGGTGAAGGCGAATACGTCGCCATCTTTGTAGCATCGTTTCCAATGTATGAAGTAAAAAATCTTTGCGATAAATTTAAATTTCCAATGTGTAAATAAAATAAAATAAATGGCTCATAAAAAAGTAGCGAGATTTGTTCTAATTAGTTCACTCGTCTTAGTTTAATTATCCGCCCATCAACACATGTTGGCGAATTACATATCACTGCCGATAGAGCCGTTGAATTATCGAACTGACCTCTTGTGAAAACAACCGGTGATCATTGACATTGGTATAACGAGCAGACGGATAAACACTGATTCTTTAAGGTAAAAATATAACAATGGAATGTCATAGCGCTTTCATTGCTTACCTTACGCCTACTAGCATGCACGTCAATAGGGAATTATGGTGAAAACAAGAGACGAACTGAGAGGAAAATATGAAAAAATTCGCTAGACCATGGATAGACCAATGCTACTATAATAGTCGTAATTATCAGTGCTGAAAGTAAGGGTGTATGTTACAAAGAATGTAACAATAATCTCTTGCATTTTAAACTCGGCCATGGTCGTTATACAGTCTCCATGGACTCTACATGTGTGCGTATCAATTACGAGAACAATTCCGTGTTACTGAGGTATCCATTCTACCACAGCCGTATAGTTACTTGAAACTAGTCTTCCTACAAAAGCACTTACGTTGTGGTCCCGTGTCAATAATCAGTGTACTAATTATTGACGGACTGTTTTCACTCAGCAACGCATACCAGTCCATACAATACTTTTTTACGGCTGTGAATCGCGAATCAGTGAAACTACCCTTCATCATGTCGAACATTTTCTCCTCTGTGTCACTATTATTTTCGGGGTTCCACGCACAAAACCTCACGACTTACTAAATTTAATTAGATACCCACATTAAATACACACGTACCTGGACAGCTGACTGAACACGTATCCATACACTTCTTCGGAATACAGACTGATAATATCCCCTACACACAGAGATACGGCCATCTTTCAGACCCTTAAAATACTCCAACC